GTCTCGAACCCGTGGGCTCAGGCAATCCACTCACCTCAGCCTCCCAAGGTGCGGGATTACAGGCTGAGCCACCGAGCCCGGCTTGTCCATTTCTTCACTGCTTTGGTCAGCACTATGTAGGCTCTCACAATTAGAAGTTCCCTCTTAGGACCTTCCAAAGACAAAAAATAAGTTGTCAAAAAAAAAATGTCAGGCCCTAAAGTTCAGCTCTCAGTGGAGGTGAATGATAATAAGAAGAGACTATGTCAAACCAAGAGGAAAGCTTCATGTTAAGGCTAAGAGGGCACAGTCTATGCCTACATCCAAAAGCTAGCCCTTCACATGGAACAATTCTTTTAGCTTTGCTGAGAATCTCAAACTCTGTTTCTGTGAGGTGCTGCCTTCTCTTCTCACTATAAACCATTCTACTTGTGCTCATACTGCCACTACAACAAGAAGTAAAACCAGAATAAAAATGCAGCAAAGGGCATTGCTGAGGACATGATAGGGAATCTGAGTTGTTCCCACTCACCTGGTCTGGAAGAGCCTTCTTTAATTCTCATTGGTTTGGTCAAAACGACATGAATTGTCCACCCAGAGAGCTCAGATTCATTCTGAAAAGACCAGAATATAACTCAGCTGCTTAAAGATTGTTAAGTTAAAAAATAATAATAATACCTGACAGTCATCCATTTACTTCTGAGAAGTCTGAGACCCGCCATTATTAATTCCAAGCCTGGGAGCCTATACCCCCTAATAGCAGGCTAAGCAAAGAGCTAACCACAGAAAACCCCTGAGCCACCATATACTTCCTTTCTTTAATGCCAACAAACAGGAAAGCCTGTGCTGGCATGATCTTTGGATTTGGGTTCAGGACTCTCCAAAGGGTAATGCAGTTACCAAGTACCTGATCCACCTTAGAAAGTCAAGATCAGCTTTGAAATGGAAACAGTATTATCGACTATTGAGGGACATGTTTGATGAAAGAGTAACTGAGAACATAAAGTGTAGGAATATTTCATTATCCAAGAATAACTGATACTTAGCAAGGTAAGTTTTTTAAAGTTTGCTTTTGGCCCTTTTCAAGAAGACTAAAAAAATGTATAAAAAGATATTTCTTAATTTAGGAAGATTTAGGCTATAATTATAGCTATGTTCTTGTTCTTAAAAACAAAGATGGACCAGGTACTAATTTTATTTCTAGCAACTAAAAAAAACTGGAATGATGTCATTAAATAATATCCTTATTTTGAACTTAGTCATGAAGATTAATCTAAACATAAGGAAATTAGGGGGACATTTTAGGGTTTTGGGGTAGGCAGAATACTGGCCCTCCAAAGATGTCCACAGCCTGCTTCCCAGAACCTGTAAATGTGCTATATGGCAAAATGGAGTTAAGGTTACAGATATTATTAAGATTGCTAGTCAGCTGACCTTAGAGTAAGATTATTTAGATGAACCTAGCGTAATCACAAGAGTCCTTTTAAATGTAGAAGAGAGAGGTAGAGTTTGTTTCAGAGTGATGCAGCATGAGAAAGACAGACGAGCAGTCACTGCTGGCTTTGAAGATGGAAAGGGCTATGAACCAAGGAATGCAGGCAGCATCTAGAAGTTGGGAAAGGCAAGGAAACAGATTCTCCCCTGCAACCCCCAGAAGCAATACAGCCATGCCAACATCTTAATTTTAGCTCTGTGAGACCCAGTTTGGACTTCTGACCTTTAAGAATGTAAGATAAACTTGTGTTGTTTTAAGCCACCAAATTTGTGGTAATTTGTTACAGCAGCAATAGGAATTCAAATCATTTTCTTTTGAAGTACCCAACCTGTCACAATCCTTGTAGATTTTCTTTTCCTCAGTAGTTAATGGGCTTAACTTCATGAGGGCCTAAATTTTCAGTGACTGTTTTTTTATTAGAGCCAATACAGTTTCCCATACACTTTCATACACTTCATGAAACCCTGCCTCTTAGATAAGATTCAAAGTTGACCTTGCAATCAGGTTACACTCTATTTGCAGTACACTGACCTAGACTAGGGGTTGGCAAATTTTCTGAAAAGGGTTAGACAGTAAATAACTTAGGCTTTGTAAGCCATATTCAGTCTCTGTAACATATTCTTTTTTTGTAAAGCCTTCTAAAAAGATAAAAATTATTTAGCACATAGGCCACAAAAAATAGGCTGTGGGATAGATTTGGCCCACAGGCCATAGATTGCTGATCCCTGCTATAAATGCAAAATAGTCAAGGAGCTGGGCATGGTGGATCATGCCTGAAATCTCAGGACTTTGGGAGGTAAAAGTGAAAGGACTGTCTGAGCCCAGAGGTTCGAGACCTTCCTAGGCAACTTGGCAAGACCTCATCTCTACAATAAACCAGAAAATTAGCCAGGCATGCCTGTAGTTCCAGCTACTTGGAAGGCTGAGAGGAAGGATCAGCTGAGGCCAGCAGGTAGAGGTTCCAGTGGCCATGAGCATGCCACTGCACTCTAGTCTAGGTAAGAGTGAGACTCTGACTCAAAAACAACAACAAAACAGGAAGATATTGGCCGACAAAAGTGGTTGACATTTATGCAAATGTTAAATGAGAATGCCTGATTAAGAATTAGTTTTATTATCAGTAGCCAGGTCATAGTGAATACTTTAATAGTGGCAACCTTTGCTTGCTATATAACTTTGAAACTGTAAAAACTGGAAACACAATATATGCATGAAGGTTTCCTAGGCTGAAAAGCAGCACCAAATAACAGCTTAATTAAAAAACAAAGATTGTCCGTCACATCATGTTGTTGAGAGTTGCTGCAACATCCTGCCAAAACAATACAAGGAAAAAGTTCATGTCTGTAGTTCAACTCTTCTTACAGTGTCAAATAAAAATTCAGTAGTGCAAACATGTGAAAAAAGATACATTTCCCCCTCCTACCTGTCTGGATTGTATGTATTTAACAAAGAACATGCACTGCCTGTTAGAACCAGTGGTATATGGATGTGTGGCCAGGTGATGGAAAGAAAGAACACACACAGGAAAATAGGAACGAATAATGCCAGGCCAGAGGGCTCAGGTATTTTATATTCTTAATACATGAGGGGAATTCTGAGCCAGGCCTAGTGAGCTATTCTCCAACCAGAACTTTTTCTCTGCAACTGTCACTACCAAGCCACTATGGTGGGTTAAATAGCATTCCCCCAAATTTCATGTCTACCTAATCCTCAGAATCTGACCTTATTTAGAAATAGAGTCTTTGGGCCAGATGCAGTTGTTTGTGCCTGTAATCCTGGCACTCTGGGAGGCTGAAGCCAGAGGATAACTGGAAGACAGGAGTTCGAGACCAGCCTGGGCTAAATGGTGAGATTCTCCTTTCTAGGAAGATTTTTTTTTTAATTAACTGGGCATGGCGCTGCTTGCCTGTAGTTCTAGCTTCTCAGGAGGCTAAGGTAGGAGGATCACTTGAGCCCAGCAGTTTGAGGCTGTAGTGAGCTACGATCAAGCCACCATACTCCAGCCTGGGCCACAGAGTGATACCCTATCTCTAATAAAAAATAAAAATAAATAGATTTTTTTGTATACGTAATTAGTTAAGATAAGGTCATACTGGATTGCTGTAAGTCCTAAAAAATGACTAGTGTCCTTATAAGAAGAGAAAACACAGAGAAACACACACAAGGAAGAAAGCTACGTGAAGACAGAGGCAGACTGGAGTGATGCAAAAGCCAAGGAATTGCAAGGACCCACCAGAAGCCAGGAAAAGGCAAGGAAAGATTCTTCCTTAGAGCCTTCAGAGGGAGCATGACCCTTGCCAATACCTTGACTTTGGACTTCTAGTTTCCAGAGCTGTGAGATAATACATTTCTGTTGTTTAAAGTCACCCAAGTTTGTGGTAACTTGCTACAACAGTCTAAAGAAACTACCACACCCTTCCAGAGAGTGACAACTTTTGTAACCAATGACAAGAGCAACATTAGTCAAATACCAAATAGGAAAAATTTCTTACCTCTGGCAACTCAAATTCAACAGAAGATAATCCTTGGTGCTTTTCTACAAAAGCAGAAATGAGTCGTTAATATATGGGCAATAGGAGGAAACATGTCATATCCAGATGTCATTTAGAAAGTGAAAATCTGTTAGATTTCTCTTAATTTATTCAACAATGCTTCTACAAATATTATATTTTACATAAGCATAGGTAAACAATATATTAATTTTTTTTTGGAAACAGAATCTCAACTGTCGCCCAGGATACAGTACAGTGGCACAATCCCATCTCACTGCAGCCTTGACCTCCTGGCCTTACGTGATCCTTCTGTCTGAGCCTCCCAAGTAGCTGGGACTACAGACGTGCCACCACACCCAGATAATTTTTTTATTTCTTTGAAGAGATGAGGTCTCATTATGTTGCCCAGGCTGGTTTCTAACTCCTGGGCTCTAACGATTCTTCTGCTTCAGCCTCCCAAAATGCTGGGATTACAGGTGTGAGCTACCATGCCCAACCATGAACTAAATTTTTAAACTTTGTAGTACACAATTCTACCACTACAGTATTTAAGCCTGAATCATTCATTCCAACTGAGCACTAATTGTTTACAGAGCACTAACCTTACTACTGAATTAGGTGACTACAAAGAAGGAAGCACAGTCCTTGTTCTCAGGAAAAACTTTAGTTGGGGAAGACTAACAGCATTCAGAATTACTTCTTTAAAAAACTCAGGGATAGAAGAACTTCTAAAAAGTCAGTCTTTTACTTTCATTTAAGATTTGAAGAACTGGCCGGTCACAGTAGCTCATGCCTATAATCCCAGCATTTTAAAAAACTGAAGTGGGATTACTTGAGCCCAGGAGTTTGAGAGCACCCTAGGCAACATAGTGAGACCTCACCTCTATAAAAAAATAAGAAAATTAGCTGGGCATGGTGGCACGCACCTGTAGTCACAGCTATTTAGGAGGCTGGGGTAGAAAGATCACCTGAGCCTATAAGGTCGAGACTGTGGTAAGCCTTGATTGTGCCATTGCACTCCAGTCTGGGTAACAGAATGAAACTAAAGGTTCAGTGAGTTTATGTCCACACAGAAAGTCAGTGACAGAACTAGGTCTAAAAGTCCTCTTAGAAAATAACAACAAAAGATCAAATACAAACTTGCCCTACAGTTGTGATACCAACTGAAAAAAAAACTCATCCAAGTAAGCAGAGGCCAAGGCTCCAATGCCAAGGCTGAGCTTCTCTGCTACCCTGTTTTTTAACAGCAAAGCTGCCAAGAATGGAGTTCTGGTGCACAGGTAAGGTAGGGTACAACTACTTAGTAGGTGGTATGAAACAACGGCCAAAGCTTTAAAAGAATTTTCTAAGATGATCCTCCTACTGGTTCTAACTATACAAGTTTTATATTAAATGATCAGAAATCAAAGCCCCCAAATGGTTGTAACGTAGAGTTAGTCTTCCCTCAAATCCAACAGATTGTTAATCTCTGTAAATTTCAGCCCATAGCAACAACACCATCATCCTGGCCTTGCTGTTCTCAGAGCGTTTTTTTTTTTTCCATTACAGTCATGCTGACCTAAAATGACATCCCCTAGACCTTCATTATATAGCAGCCACACATAGAATGCACATGACTAAAAATGTTTTCCCAAGTTATTTTCCTGACATCAGAAATCTGAACATGAGAGGCACTTTTCAGTGTCACCTGTTTCACAGAATTAGAACACCTGTGATGTTCCCAAAAGGAATAAAAGCAACATGATGAACCTTGTCCTCTACCCTCTCTGCAAGCCCACCTGCAAAGACACCAAGAGCATCCTGAACCAATGTCTTTACACGCCTGGTGCATCTGCTACAAGACCCTGCTAACATGAGCACAAGGAGAGGAAGGGAGGGATCCTAGTGCTCTTTTGGGTACACAAAATCACCTGTGAGGTACACTTGGCTCCCCATTCCTCTCCAGACTTACACCTAGTCACCGGTTATTGTGAAAGTTTCCTAAATGGGCTTACTACCTTCGTCTCTCTCTTCTAGAGTCACTAGAATGATCCGAAGAAAGTACAAATCTCATTCCATCACTTTTTTGCTTGGCATTCGTCAAAAGCTGGCCAATGCCCGAGGGACAAAGTCCATATTTCTTAGCACAGTGTATACGACCTTCACAACCCAGGCCCTGCTCATCTCTCTTTCCCCTTGTTTCCTCAAGGCAAACTATTAGCCCTTAAGGGCCAGAGTCCCACACACCTCTAGGCTTTTGCTCTTGCTACTCCTCTCCATTCAGGCAACAGCCTTGCTCCCGCCGTGGCTAACTCTGAATCTTGCAAACTCATCTCTGGCCTCCGAGCATCCTGGCTAACCCTTGCCTCTTCGGATGGCAGTCATTCCCCAGCCTGGCCCACGTCATCATTGTCCGTCATACAACCGCATCATAGCACTGATATACCCATGGAGTGAGGCTCTTTCCATAATATCCCAGCTATCCTGTAAGCGCCTCCGTCTAAGGGTCAAGGGCTGTGGAGTTTATGGATCCATGGGCACCAGAGATAGGGATGAGGTCTGGGATCGCTATAACATTTCGCAACCACCTCGCTGGGTCCAGGGTCAGAAGGGGCAGGAAAACGGGGTCTAGACAGCGCTAGCGGATGCCGCTCAGGGGTAGGGGCGGGGGAAGCCCCACAGGAGACCTGGCTGAAGCATCGTGGCGCCACAATTCCACGCCTCGTCCACTCTGCGCCAACATCAGCACAATCCGGGCACTGCCGGCTCACCCACGTAGCGTAACCTTTTGGTGGCAGCCATCTTGCTTTCCAACACTTCCGCCGGAAGCCCGTGCTGCGCCACACCCACCACCCCTCCATCCGTCAGACGTTAATTGAAAACACAAATACATAAAGGCATGGACAAAAGACGGGGCCATCAGGAATCAGGGACATTTACTTTAGATTGGGCCCTCAGATCTGTTATGAGACCAGACCTTAAGGAAAAGGAACCTGCCAAGAGGGACGAAGATTCTCAGGGGCTGCCAGGCTGGGTAAGGCCCTGAGGAAGGACAGCCTGGAAGGTCAAGGGAGGGAGAGGAGGCGTGGCTGGAGGACACCAAGTGCAAGTAGGCCACAAAAGTGGGCGTTCTAAGCCAGGTTACTATCACTTGAAGGACCAAAGAAACCACAAAAAACAGAGGACTTCATTACTGTTTGCTACTGTTACAGATTACCTCCCATTTTCCCACTGCCAGAAGAAACCCTGGTAGCAAAATCAACGTGCTGACCCGCATGCAAAATGAACTGGCTGTAGGAGACAGAGGGGAGGAAAGGACAAATCCCAACATAGTACAGGAAGGGACTGAAGATCTCACCCTATGTCCTTGGGGTGTGTGCTAATCCAATCCCTCTGTACCCCAGAAGGATACAGATCCAAGGTCTGCTCTGACCACACCAGACTTGTACCCTGTAAGTCAAATGGGGCCAATGTAAAGATCCTACCATAACAGAATGCAATGGAACAGGATCATATTCAACAGTTCTGTATATTTTGTTAACCTTAAATTGTCAGGTAAAAAGGTAAGAGGGTAAGCTATACAGAAATTCACTGCAAACTATTCACATCCTAAAGTTACTTTCTAGCAAAACCTGAAATTTATGGAATAAAACTGTGGTCAGAGACAGAAGCAGTTTTATGGAGATTTTTTTTTCTTTATTGAGAAACATAAGACTTGGGTACATCAAATAAAACCAATTTCTGGGGGGGGAAAAAAATCAAAACCCACAATAGAAAAAAAAGTTAACACTGTCTGGGCCACAGCAGAACCCAAAGAATATATTTGTATAATTGAAAAATTCTAGGCGCTTCATAATTGACCTTTTGATACAAAATGACCTATTAAATTTGCAATTTGTAGTTCTTGGTGTTGAGGTCCATAGGACAAGCTAGGAAGTCTTCAAACCTTGAGCTGAATTCCATGAGGGGTTATTTGGCTTTTGAATCCTGAAAAGAAAAGCACCAACACAAATAAATACATAATCAAAATAATTTCAGAGCTTCACTAAAATCTGGCTAATAAAGGAAAGTATTCTGGAGCAGGGTTTCTCAACCTCAGCACTCTTGACATTTTGGGCCTTATCATTCAGTTGGGGCTGTCCTGTCCACTTTAACAGCATCCCTGGGCTTTACCCACTAGATGACAAGGCTCCTGAGGTCTCTGACAAGACAGTCACAGCTATGCCAAGTCAACCCCTACCACATAGCAGCTCTGGCCTTCACAAGTTTTTTCCTTTGTTCATTTGACTCCTTCTGTATCTGGAGGCACCTACCGTAAGTCCTAGTTAAACTTTATTCACCCAAGCCCCTGCAGACAGAGTCCACAGTGCTCATGATAAGAAGCCACCTGGAACATACCCTGTGTAACTGTATTCAGGCATGTGTCTGTCTCTCCCACAAGATCATAACCTTTGATGCCAAGGCCTCTCTCCCTGCTGTACTCCCAGAGCTAAGCTGTGGTATACACACAACCTCAGGCCAAACCAGGAAGATCATGCTCACAGAAATGGAATTTGGGGATCTGATTATATAACCAGGGGCTCCTTATGAGGAAACTTCCTTTTAAATCACAGTCTGTACTCTTTTTTCCACAAACTCATCCAGATGACAGAAAAAGCCTGTTCAAGTTATCAGGTTAAATGGCAGAAATATGGCTTTATATATGACCACCATTCTTTTAGGAAGATACTCATGAATCAAAACCACTGTAGAAAACGAAGAGCCAAACATACGGTTTTTCCTTGTCTAAGAGGTAGCAGCAGCAACAGCGCCCACCTTCTGGGCAGCTTCTTTCTTGGCATGATGAGCCTGTAGAACCGCCACAGCTTCATCCACCTGTGAGAAATCTCCAGGTGGTCAATGACTCTAGGAGAACCCCTTCACAGTGTCCAGGCCCAACTGCAGAAGATGAGCCCTAAGCTTCTGGTGCCAACTGTCTTCCCAAGCACCCACAGAGCAGCAGTCCCCAGTCATAGGCAATGTATGAGGGAAGGAGCCACAGGGGCAGCAGCCCCTTCTCCCTGTTGCACCTAAGTGTCCATGGTTGTCCCCCAGTCTCCTCAGCTCACCTTTGAGCGGAGAGACTCAGGGGACTCCAGCATGTGCAGCAGCTCAGAATTATCAATTTCCAACAGCATTCCTGTAATCTTCCCAGCCAGGTTTGAATGCATTGTTTGGATGAGTGGGAACAAACGTTCTCCTGTGGGGAGGATAGTTAATAAAAAAACCGAGTTAAACCCCAGTAAACAACGGGCACTGATGTCCAAGTTGATGCCAGGCTCTGGGCCCCTCTTCTGCAAGCAGGTGGGTCACTCACCCAGCATCTGCTTCTGTTCCTGGGGGGGTGCTGCAGCCAGCATGGAGGCAGTAAGGGGCTCCTGCCCCTGCACATGGACTGCAGGCTGGGGTGCCTGGGAACCAGGAGAGGTAGCGGATTAGCATCAAGGAGAGGACAACACTTGATGGTGGTTGGGAGTCAACATGTGAACATCTAACTATGCGAAAGAGGAGATGGAGATAGTTGACCTTCCTCTCAAGGAACTAATTTCAGTCCTTGAGGAACTGATGGGTGTATGGTAAGGAAAACAATAGGATGGACATACAAATAAAACCAATTACAATGAAAATGGCATGCTATCAGAAAAGAAAGTAAATTTCATGTAATAAACATACAATGCTAAGCAAGTATTTTACGACATTTTCTTAAAAACACTGTTACCCAAGAATTTGAAGCCTTGTTATAAATTAGGCTAAAGTAGAGATTTGTGTCAATAGCCTTTTCCTGAAAATTAGTTTTCCTTTAGGGTGAATGCCATTACAGATTAAGTCAAAGGGTATAAATATCAGGACAATTATAATTATATCCCACATCACCTTTATTGTACCAAATGCTTAAAAACTGTCAACATGCAATGTCAATACTGGTCAGAGTCCGAAAAGGAGGGCCATGCAGAAAAAAAAGTATTTTACATAGCACCAAGTTCTGGGAAATTCCCAACTTGGAGAGTATGGAGCAGGATGGTTAAAGAGTAATGTAAGTCAGGCTCGGTGGCTCAGCCTGCAATCCTGCGCCTTTGGAAGGCTGAGGTGAGTGGATTGCCTGAGCCCGCGGGTTCGAGACCCGCCTGGGCAACTTGGCGAGACCTCATCTCTACAATAAATCAAAAATTAGCCGGGCATGGTAGCGCGTGCCTGTAGTTCCAGCTACTCGGAAGGCTGAGGCGGAAGGATCGCCAGAGCCCAGCAGGTCAAGGCTGCGGTGGCCGGGAGCGGCCGCTGCACTCCAGTCTGGGTGACAGAGTAAGACTCCAACTCAAAAAAAAAAAAAAAAAAAAAACAAACAACAAAAAAAATAAAGAGTAATGTAACTAGGAGGCAGCTTGTGGTCTTAGTGTGGCATTTCCACAGCAAACTGCTCCTGAGTTCTGCAACAAATTAATTGTATCCTGGCTTGCCTTTAGGGAGGAGCAGGGCTCTAGAGACAGCAAGTTACAGCTTAGAAAATCTATATGTGGGCTCTAACCCCTTCCCTTCCAAAACACATTTCCCACACACATTTTACATTTTTTAAGCTAAATGTCTTATCTGTAAGTTGAAGTTATTTCCTGCCTTAATACCAGTCATCTTGCAGAGCAGCTGAGGATCAAACAGGCCACTGGATATGGAAGTGACCTGGAGGCTCAAAGCGCTGAGTGAGCACATGTATATCAAACATACATATGCCATAAAGAGAGCAGGAAGCACTGGCTGTTCCTTCTGGGGACATTTCTGAGTGAACTATTATTAGGAAAAACACTTTCTAGCACCTTCTCTCTCACTAGTGAGCACCTAAGGGGCAGGGACAGTGTCTGAATTACCACACAGAACACAGTATCCTAACACGGAGCAGGCATTTAATACCTGAAGGAACCAAAGATTCATTTAAATCAGGTGAAAAATGGGAAAATCCTTTTAGCATTCTGCTTGGTGGACCTCACCTGCAGAGGCTGTATGGCAGGATGTGGGCTGCGGACACTGGAGGCATATTTATATGGTGCAACAGCCCGAGGAGCAGTAGCAGCAACAGTGGCACGAGGCGCTAAGTTCTGCACAGCTGTGGGAACGCCTTAGGGAAAGAACAAACACAATTAAAGCCCATCAGTCTGGGCAAAGACCCGACAAATCCCATCTTTCCCCCTTCTGTGTGCATCCAATACCACCTCCAGACTGGCAGCTGTCAGTCAGCCCTTGCTGGGCGGCACCAGCCCCACCAAAGTCCATAGCCAAGCGGTCCGGGCACTCAGACCCTACAACAGACCAGCAAATGCACATGAGTGTTGGCGGCAGATGTCCAACTGGCATGTCCCATGGAAGGAGAAATTTCAAAGCATGTTCATGTAACACATCATACATGGGGCCACTACTGCTACTTGTGAGGATGAGCCAAAGAATAGCAAACAACTCTTTCCACACCTTGGAATACAGGACATAGTCCTTAAAAAGTTCTCCTTCTATACACCCCACCCCATCCAAAAGAAAAGGCTGCCTCTGTAGTTATCCAGCTAGCAAACTTCTACAACTAACCTTTTACATGAGTCACCGATGAGCAAAGAATGTTAAAAGTAACCAACGCACCTAGATGCACACTGTCTTTCTGCTCCCAAAGTACCTACCTAAGCACACAGCTATGATTACAGAATTGGGACTCAATAAACTCGAGCCCAACAAACTGACCAACCCAGGGCAGAGCCTAGTTATCCTGACTCCCTCCTCCCCGGGCCACGCTTCTAAAGGCCAGTTTGCTCACCGACTCTCTGAGTGGTAGTAGGGAGGCCACGAGAGGCCGGAGCATTACCAGTTGGAGCCAGATGGCGTAGAGTTGGACGAGGCCCAGACTGGCGTATAGCACTTGGCATTCCTTGGAAGCCTGATGAAAAGACAAAAATTGCACATCACTGACAAGCAATGTGGAGCAGAGCCTAGGCTGTGTCTTGGAGGGGAAGGTAGGAAAGGCAGGGGAGACCAGGACAGGTATATCCTGGGTATCAAATCACTGTTCCCCACCACCTACCTTGAGGTCTCCCACCTTGCTGCCAGCGTGGATTAGGCCTCATCTGTGCTAACTGGTTAGGTGTGTAATAGGGAGGCCTTCCCTGAGCCTGTAAGACAGAACACCCAAGTCCTTTTATTTTAAGGATAGAGAAGTACCTCATCACTAACCAGGTCCTAGGATAATTATTTGGAAAAAAGGCTCTTTTTACCCAAAAGCTGAGACAGTTAATAGGGACTGTTTTACTCTAACCCTGCCACTATGTCTGTACGACCATGGGTAAGTCCTTCTTCATTTTTACTGCAAGAGTCCTCAACCACTGTAGAATACAGCCGAAACTGACAGTGGGCAAGTTCTAAAGAGCTGTGATCATATAGCAGACCTACCTGTGGGACTGCTGGCACAAAGTAGCCACCAGCTGCAGGCTGGAATTGATTTAAGATAGCATTTGCAGGGAGTGCTCTCATTCCAGCCACCCGCTGCATATACTGGTTGGTCAGGTGAGCCTTTCTTTCTTCCTTCCTCTGTGCCAGGGCAACATATAGTGGTTTAGAGCCCACGATGCGTCCATTCATTTCAGTGACTGCTTTGGTTGCCTCTTCAGGAGATGAGAAGCAGACGAAGCCAAATCCTTTGCTTCTTCCATCCTCCAGCATTACCTACAAGAAAAAGGTATCCCTGTGTCAGGGATTCAGAAGAGCTAGAAAATCTGGGTTCTGCAGCAATGACCAAGTCTAGGTGGAGGAAAAAGAAGAGGTTCAATCTTGGCCCAGGATGTACACCAGACCAATTAAGTCACAATCTCTAAGGTACTTAAGCATTTTCTTTTTTTTTTTTTTTTTGAGTTGGAGTCTCACTCGGTCGCCCAGACTGGAGTGCAGTGGCCGATCCCGGCCACCGCAGCCTCGACCTGCTGGGCTCCAGCGATCCTTCTGCCTCAGCCTTCTAAGTAGCCGGAATTACAGGCATGTGCTACCATGCCCGGCTGATTTTTTGATTTATTATAGAGATGAGAGGTCTTGCTGCCCAGGCGGGTCTCGAACCCGCGGGCTCAGGCAATCCACTCACCTCAGCCTCCCAAATGCACGGGATTACAGGCTGAGCCACCGAGCCCGGCTAGCATTTTCTTTTTTAAGTCCCAGGTGATGATAAAGTTCCCAAACACTATGAAATGACTAATGGTAAAACCAGGAACCCAAAGATGTTTCCCGATACCTGGAAGCACAGCTACCCCTGGGTACCTATAAGAGATTTTGACAGTACCGTTGAACAATTTATTTTTGGAGTTCATCTATAACAAGACATTGGTGGATAAAACTTTTAACAAACTCACAGCAAGGTTAGGATAACCCTTTTTAAATAGCATATGTGGGTAAGTATTATACAACGCTTGAGTCACCAATGACTGCCACCATTAATTCAATGGGAATGACACAAAGATGACCAGCTGAGAGATAGGCAGCCTATAATCTAGTCTTACTTGCTTTCTGAGTCTCAATTTCCATGACATTACTCCAAAGTAAATAGCTACAAAGCCACAGGTCTACTGGCTCAAGCAATCTTTTTCCACATAAAATAAGAAAACTGCTGAGCATGGTGGCTCATGCCTGTCATCCTAAAACTTTGGGAGGCTAAGGCAGGAGAACTGTTTGAGCCTGTGAGTTTGAGACCAGCCTGGGCAACATAGCGAGACCTTGTCTCTACCAAAAAAAAAAAAATTAGCCAGGCATGGTGCCGCACACCTGTAGTTTTAGCTACTCAGGAGAAGCTGAGGCAGAGGGATAGCCTGAGCGCAGGAGGATGAGACTTCCATGAGCCATGACCATGCCACTGCACTCCAGCCTGGGCAACAGAGTGAAATCTCAATTCAAAAAAATAAAATAAATAAAAAACCTAAAAAGGTCATTTACTGCCTTCCCTCATGTACCCCTTCTCAGAAGTATTAGTAGCAATATGACTATGTACGCTTAGTAGCATTTTTTTTGTGTCTCAGTTAACGGCCTGGAGAGCCTCCAGAAGTAGGACAGGGAAATAAAAATGTGTACCAACCCAACAACTCTACCAATGAGGTGGGCCAGTACAGTGTGTGAAAAAAATGCCATACCATGATCTTGGAAACGGTGTCCATGACACTTCAAGATACGACTCTCTGCTCTCCTCTTATTCTGATAGGGGTCAGTAAAGCGAGTAATACCAAGAGGGTAGGGGTAAGGAACTAGGCGAACCCCAGAGCTGGTCTCTGGGCAACTCCCTACTACAACTGATAACGTTCTCTTGCACAACTTTCTCAAGTTAGGAGCAACTTATGCTAAGAGCTGGAGCAGGACTACTAAGATATTACCGGTCCACATAGCTTCCTTTCTCATCAACTAAAGAATGTTATGGTATTTGCTGCACCCCTACTAAGCAAGACCAGTGGCTGCATCAGGCCATGATCCACAACTTCTGGATGTCACCTCTCTGTCATCACACTCCCAAAGTGCCAAGGACATGCCATACGCCATCCCCTTTCTCTTGCACAAGAACTCAAATTCCTTATCTTTAAAAGGAGGTTCTGTGGTACATATACACAGTAGAATATTACACAGCCATAAAAAGGAACATATGGACTTCGCAGCAACTTGGACAGATTTAGAATCTATAATATTTAGTGATCTATCGCAGAAACAAAGAACTGAGTACCACACATTCTCACTCATAAGTGGACCCTGAACATTTACCATAATACTATAAGGGACTAGCAGTAGCAGGACACTGCCAGGAGAGGGATGGAGGGCACATAGTATCAATAACGTTCCTGATCTCAAACCAGGCGAAGTGGGGACCAAAGGGAGGCCCAAACTTTACATGTATGATTACTTGTATACCTAATCCTGAATTGTACCCCATGTTTTTAAAAATAACTAAGTAAATAAAGGTGGTTCCCACTTAATCATCCTGCTAACTCAGTTGATATGATTATCAAAGAAAAACAAGCAAATGATACACATTACAAAACATGGAAAAACAAACTTTCCCCTCCCTTTTCCTCTTCATTAGATCAGGGTAGATTAGCTCCAAAATCTTCAAAATATTTCATTTTCAAGGAGAAAATGTGGCAGAGTCGTAGAGACAGGCCCCAAGACAAATGGAAAACAGCCTGTCTGGATTTTCTCTGCTCTTACTGTAGCACCATCTGTCCCCACACCAGCACAAAGCAGCAAGGATGGGAAAGATTTAGGTGCGCTAGAGGGTTAGCAGGGAGGGGCTAGGTTCAAAGCCTTCTCATACTCCAGTGCTTGGGAGACACTGTAACGTTAACCTACTGACATATCATTCTCCAGATCATCCACTAAAATACATAATCCAAGGCAATGAGGGATTTGCTAGAAAAATGTAGTAACTAGTTTAAGAAATGAACACAATTTAGATCCTATTCCTTCAATGAAATAAATGTCAATAAACCTGTAACAGAGTAATATTGAATTCAATCCCAAAATCTCAGTATTAACATACCTTAGCACTGGTGATTGATCCAAAAGGAGAAAACTCTTTCCTTAATTTCTCATCATCAATAGTGTCATCCAAGTTCTTAATGTAGAGATTCACCCCCTAAAAGAGAAAGATAATTGTTCATTGCACTTCTATGCCACATATAGTCCTAAGAAAATGGTGCCCAAGGTGTGGTCCCCAGACCAGGAGTACCAGCATCTTCGGGAACTTGTGAGAAATGAAAATTCACAGGCCAGACCCCAAATCTAATGAATCAGAAACTCTGGCTGGAGGTCAGAGGATTTTGACAAGCCCTGCTGAAGATCTGATGCAAGCCCAAAGTCAAGAAACTACTATCCTAAAACTCTGATAGGACCACCAGTGTAGTCACATGATGTCGTCTCTCCCCACTGCCGCACTGACTGACCACTCACTCCAGTAGGGGTCTCTTTTGCCACCATGCTAAACAAAGGGGTGTCATTTTTTTTGCCACCATGCTAAACAAAGGGGTGTCAAGTAAAAGGAACCTACATGGCCAAGAGCAACAAGCTGAGGCTTCCATAAGAGTCCTTCGACCTCTTTTGTCCATGTTCTATAATCACTGCCATATCTGGTGGGTATGTATATATCATTCTAAACCTGATCTCAATGAAGGGAAGAGCAGACTTCAAATCCTCAAAGAAAAAGCCTGCTAAACATTAAGGTGCTTTGCAAATTCCCTATTAGTAAGTAGGCTGGGCCAAAACCATCTCACCTGGTATCGACTAATTCTCTCCTGTTTCAGCTGCTCAAATTTCCGTTTTAACTCTGCCTGCCGTTCTACTTTCTTCTGTGCACGGCCTACAAATATGACTTTCCCACTGATTTCTTTTCCATTCATCTCTTCCACGGCCTAGAGAGGAAATATATGTCCTGATTAAGTCTTGTTCTAGGGGTCTATAAGTCCCACTAAATATTCTGACAGAAATCCTTCCAACAGGACTCAAAACTAATTTCATTGCATCTCTGAAGTTTGCTAAACAAATCCAAATCTCATCTGTAGGTGGAGTTAATATTTAAATGGGTTATTGGTCCAAATTATAGAGGGAAAAATAGTACAGCTGTGTAAATATAAGCATGGTAACACGAGCCTGGGCTGATAATCTGGCTGTCAATAAACATTACAGGTTCTTTTGTGGGTAACAAGTGATAAATGTTGAGGGCCTAGCACAATGCTTTGCCCACAAGTAGCTGCTATGCTGTTATTAAATCAGCAACTTCCTGGGCTTTAGCTCCCTCACCTTTTAAGGGGAACAAACATCTGTCCTGTTTTCTCAATAGCTGATAGCTGAAGTGACAGGTATGTGCCAAGTGCTCTGTAAACAGTTAAATGATATGTTAACATGAAACCCCCTCAAGAAGATGATTCCAGAGCACAGTAACTGTACATCCACTACTAGAACCTCAGACCATTCCAGCTCTACTCTACTGTGTGCCAGGAAGGCCCTGCCCATGCTCTGGGGCACCTCTTACAAATTTTTCCCAACCCTTGTGGTACTCTCACCTTATTGGCATCCTCATGTTTTTCGTAACTCACAAAGCCAAAGCCTTTGGATTTCCCACTGGGATCTCTCATCACCTTGACACTTAGGGTCTTACCTATTACCAAAGGACAGAACTATTAGCAACACCATCTCTAGCACAACTCAAGGAGAGAAGACTTCCCTCTAGGAACCCACTTGGAGCAAACCTCTGGCTGAACCCAGATGGACTATAAGAAAGAGGCACCACACTTGGTCTTCTAATTCTGACCAAGCAGCTGAGATGGTCTTAGGGATGGGAGAAGGATGACGCCAAAAGCCAGGCCTGGAATCTACCCCTATCTACCTGTAACCTTTGCCAGCCAGGGTGTTTATTTCTGGGCCTGAGTGCCCTCATCTCCTAAGTAAAAACAGATGGCTCTGGTGGACTGTAAAAGGGAACATGTAGGATAAAGGACCTCTGACTTACCAAACTGGCTAAATAGCTCTTTCAGGCTCTCATCATCCACCTCTTCTCCAAAGTTTTTGATATAAACGTTGGTGAATTCCTTGGCTTTGGCTCCAAGCTCAGCTTCTCGCTCTTTGCGAGACTTGAATCTGCCCACAAACCTAGAAAGAAACCAGGAAGAACAGTGATCACCTAGAAGAGTAAAATACGATTTTCCAGGGGTCCAGAGAATGCAGGTTAAAGGCTAACAGGAGAGGCTGAAACATGAGGTCCCCATCCACCACTAAGAGAGTAAGTTTAGAGACAACCCAAATCCCCAGTAGAAAAAGAAAGAAGCAGGACTATCCTGCGAGGGCCAGCCCCAGGGCTCCTGGCTCAGACCAGGGCTACTCCTACCACATCACACTGCCTTCGTGAAGAAACCTGACGACCACATTTTTAAAACGTTCATTTCTGTGCAACTATGTAAATGCATAGAAAAGGTCTGGAAGGATACAAACCAAACTGTTAACAGTGGTTAATCCTAGGAGTGAGTGTATTTAAGCGAAGGGATTGTTTGCTTGTTTATTGTATTCATTTGGTATTTATGTATTTCAAAGTATGGACACTGAAAATTTTTCCTATTTCTTTCTAGTGATACCTGTGTCCACTGGACACATGGACATTATAAACACAACCCATCCTCTGGTTTGTTAAACAACACAAAAGAAAATTATTTTTGCTTATAATAGCCAAGACTTATCGTCCCTTCTCCCCACGTGGCTTTACTAAGTTTTCACTCTCTCCCTTCTATAGTAACAACCACAGCAAAGCAACAAGGTGTTATGAATTGTCTCTGCAAATGGATGAGATTTTTCACTGTAACCAAATTATTACTATGGAGCCAGCCTTGTATTAGGTCACTGAGTCGTAAGTTAGAAAATGGAGAACTAGAGGGACAATTTGGCAACATCCACTAGCGAGAAACCCATGGACAGACCTGAGTCACAGGAAAGCCACGGTCACATTGCTAGTATACAGCTCCTGGTCAGTCCAGGGCCCTCTCCACTCTGCCACTGGCCAAGACCCCCACTCAGAGTGGGCTTAGAGTTGCCTTCCAGCCAGCCCCAGTTGCTGATGTTCACAAAACCCACAGACAGATGCCTTTAAGGGAGAGGCTGCAGGCAGGCCATGGCTTGGGCAGGAAGCCCACCTTGGCGAGTCAAAAGGGCTGCCACGGCTCAGGCAGGGAGACTCACCAGCCCTGGAGTGGAGAGGTAGGAGCAGGCCACACTTGGGCCGAGAGAACCAGTAGCCGCCTTGTGTGTGCCAGTTAATACCGAGGTGGGGCCACGGCTGGCTCATGCGATGGTTGTTGCTCCAGACTGGGACACTCACACTTTGCGGTCATTGAGGAGCATGCCATTCATCTTCTCGATGGCCTTGTCGGCAGCCTCTTGGGTCTCGAAGTGGACAAAGGCATAACCCTTAGAGCCGTTCTCATCACACACCACCTGTCAAAGACAAGGTGGACCCCTTAGTATCAATGATCAGCTCCAGAGATGCTGAACCTCATGGTCTTCTGTGTATGAGAAGCCTCTAGCCCAGCCATAGCCAAAGGCAGCCAACTGTACTAGGTATGATTTATTTAACATCTAGCACAGCACTAGGCACCTAGTAAGTGCTGTTTACAAATGGTAGCAATTATTGGACTGTGTATTCTATTCCAAAATACATTTAAGAGATCTGGGTGCAAACCACAGTGCTGCAGAAAGAGAATTTTTTTAAGCCTACAACAGACTTCAGCCTTGTGTGGTGTGCCAGATGTGTTTTACAAGTAAAACACCATCCTATGGGTTTTAAAGTGCTCCACATCAACAGACACGTAGAGAGGGAAAAGGGTAAATGTATGCTTCTAAAGTGATCAGTTTCCTGGAGACACTTCTCTGGTATTCTCCAGGAAACCGATCACTTTAGAAGCATAAATTTCCTCTACTCCACCCAAAAGAAAACCTTTTGAGGCCTTCTACAGCTAAAAAACAGGAAGGGTATTTCATCTGAGGGAAGGAAAAGCAAGGATCCAAAACCACCTGCTGGTTATGCTGGGCTATGGCCCTGAGATTACCTAAGGGAACTTTTAGGATTTCATTTCCAGCATTTTGAAAGTTACTGTGCAGCTGGGCACAGTGGCTCACACCTATAATCCCAGCATTTTGGGAGGCAGAGGCAAGAGGACTGCCTGAGCCCAGGAGTTCGAGCCCAGCCTGGGGCAAAATGGCAAAGACTCATCTCTACAATAAATCAAAAAATTAACTGGGCGTGCGCCTACAGTTCCAGTTACTTGGAAGGCTAAGGGCAGAAGGTTCACCTTAGTCCAGCAGGTCAAGGCTGCGGTGGCTGTGAGTGTGCCACCACACTTCAACCTGGGAGACAGAGTGAGACTCCAACTCAAAAAAACCAAAAAAAAGTAAGTTACCATGTTCTGATGCCCAATTTCAAGGCAGTTCTCCTCATAGTGTTTAATCTTGTTTCAAGATTTAATAATTATTCTGCTGAAATAATTTAATCAGTGTTTACCTTGCAGGACAGAATGTTTCCAAAAGCAGAAAAAGTATCATAAAGTGCCTTGTTATCTATAGATTTGTCCAGGTTCTTGATGAAGACGTTTCCCACACCAGATTTTCTCAAAGAGGGATCTCTCTGAGACCACATGATACGGATTGGCTTTCCCTTAATCACATCAAAGTTCATGGTGTCCAAGGCCCTTTCAGCTGTAAGAGAGAAACTACATTTCAATCAAGGATATAAAACATCAACTCACATAGGCCACCATCCCTAGAACAGATTACTCTAGGACTTTTCAAGGTAATCACTCTGATAAAAGGGAACTCTATTGAAATCAAAGGGCATCAGATCCCTCTAGCCTGCACTGTTACTAAGGGTAGAGTAAGTTCCAGCTAATCGCTAGAACTTGGAAATGTTCTCCACATCATCAGCACAAGAAGGATGAAACCACCACACTTTTCTACCTAAGCAGACAGTGCAGGTGGTGGGCCCTGCAACAAGTTGTCTCCAGTCATCTGAAACCTTAATATGTGTTCTAAACTTCTAGAATTCTAGGACTTCAACTACCCTGATGCCCAAATAAGTTCTTCAACCAGTGCCTTGGGATGATGCCCCTTTAGCTTCCCAACCAAGTGCATGTGTACAACAGAGACCATTTGAAGAACCAGAAGCTATAATATATATCATCACCTGCCAGCCAGGAACACTTCTCTTCATTAGTGCTAACAAGGACCCAGATCTGGTGACTACTTTTCCTCAACGCTATTACAGCATCTCACCGCAGTGACATCACCCAGAACCTCCTCTATAAGGGGATTCAGAAGGGTCAGGGCCATAGAGCTTGCTCCTTGCCTAAGACAACATCTCACTTAAAAGGAGGACAAAATTCCCTAACTTTGTCCCTCTGTTCAATTGTCCAATCAGCCAAGGGAATTTCTTTCCAATAACCTTCCCCACCTTCCACAGAAGGTAGGCTCATGTGTTTGAGGATCCAGGTCAGGAATAGTCTAGATACTAAAATTTGCTTGTGATGGCTATCAGAGGCAGACAGCCTGGGACCCCACATTGCTTCGTTAACTAGCAGTAAAGGAGACTATTTCAACATAGTTTCGTGTCTATTTCCAGACAGCACTGCACAAGGCAAGTCGGCTTAGTCTGACAAATCTGGCTACACTTATTTATAGCAGGGAGAGGTCCTGCAAAAGTATGTGTTGGCAGACACACTGACCAATGGCTTCAGCTATCTCTAAGTGACACAACTTTTGTTCAGAAGAGTCAAGAAAGCAGACAACAGCCAATGTACCCACTACGATTCCCTAAAAAGACCACACTCAACTACCTTGTTTGTGATCCTGTGGTCAGGGACAGGAGTTAGCTTAGACACACTGGACTGACAGTCTCTCTGAACATGTCCAACGTTCTAGTCTCAACTGCAACCTGGGCAAGTAACATTCTCTGTGCCTCATGGACAGTGAACAAAGTGGGGACAAAAATAGGAACCTGAAGATCCTGTGCCATAAAATGGCTTGTTTCTCCCAGTAATGGTCTCTGCAGTTGTTCCCTTTTAATCTGGAGTCACGTGCAGCCCCTGATTAGGTTTCCTCTGGCCTTGTGCCTGCCACGCCTGCAGCATACCTCTCTCTTCTGCTTCATGCTAAAGCCATAATCTGGAGTGGTGGAGTACTACACTGGGAGTCCCAACCTGGCCTCCAACCTTTTGCACTCCTTCTTCTTGTCTTAAGTACCATTTTTTCCGGATTGGATGAAGTAAAAGGGCTAGATAAGTGTAAAGCACTGTTCACAGGTGAGGCCATAAATGCCACAAGCTCAGGGGATTTTCAAGTAATGCTTCCCCGGACTACCTGAATACCATTCTTCACGCAAATAACCTGGATACCATTTGTCCAGAGCAAAGCACTCCTCCACTCCAATAGCAAACACACACCAAGGAGCTGGCCTGGCACATGCAGTTCTGGTGACACTAACAAGTCTTTCTTACAGTTTATGCACAGAATGTTCCCCCCGCTTCCTACCTGCCATAAATGATCCTTTATCAGCACAAAATCAAGCTTAGTCCAGGATAAAGGTGGGGGAGGGGGCAGCAGCTTTGCAAGCCAAAACTTTTGCAGCGAATTGTGTTTGAATCATCCTGCCTTTTTAGCAGGCCTATGAGGGACATAAGCCCATGCTATCAGACCAGGCAAGGGTCTCTTAACAGCCCAGCCCCACTCCAACAGGACCACACACAATGGAATGACAGTGGCTTCACTCTGATCCTGTTTTACAGTCTCCTTGGGTTCCAACCCCACCACCACTACTGAGTAGCCCAAGGTCACCCAGTTAGCAAGTGGTAGAAGCAAGACTGAAAACTCGGGTCATCTGATGCCAGGCTCTGTGTTCTCAACCCCTGCACCGTTACGCCTTCTATGGCAACACGCTGCCATGATACGGCCCCCTCCTTGGCAGTCGAGCCCTGGCCAGAAGATGACTATTGGGGTCCCCCGGGATCCCACGCATGTGTGGGCATAGCTTCTACTCACCGTCAGCTGGCTGCTGGAAGTTGACGTAGGCATAACCCAGGGAGCGGCGGGTGATCATATCGCGGCAGACCCGGATGGACAGCACAGGCCCCGCAGGGCTGAACTTTTCATACAGCATGGCCTCGGTGACGTCCGAGTGCAAGTCACCCACGTAGAGGGAGGCCATGGGGTAGCTGCTGGCCGCAGCGTTCATCTCCCCACCCCCCACCACCCCGAGCCCCGCCAGGAGGACTTCTTATAGGGCCCACCGCAGGACAAAAGGGGCTCTTCTCGGAGCCGGGGCCCGCGCCGCGGCTCACAGGTGGCAAAGAGCGAAGCGTAGACAAGCTGGAGTAGGCAGGCTCAGAGGCAGGACGGAAACCAGGAGTTCAGGGACAGCGCACACGGGACTGCAACACCTCAGACAAAAGGCTCTCAAAAACAATATGGCCCTCCCTGGGAGTTTGTAATTTTCAGCTGTCTTGGCTTGAAGCTCCAAATTTCAAAAAGAAAAAAAAATTGAAACGGGGAATCCCCTTTCCCAGGGTAAAATTTCTTTAGGAGGCAGCCAGATGCTGCCCACGGCGGCCTTCGGGACACGCGTTTCTCTATAAATATAGGCCTCGGGCTCCCGGCGGTTTAAGATTACAACAGCCAGGGAAGAGGGAAACCAAATCTTTGTGGGTGCCGACTCGGCGAGCCCCGGGCGGGCGGGACAGCGAAGGGCAGCGCGGACACGTGGTGCGCCGGCGGCGGCGTCGCGCTGGGGGCGAGGGCGCCGACGGGTCGGGGGCCGGGGCTGCCACGCGGCGGGGACCCGGCCGGTGGGCTGGGCGGGCGGAGGGCGCGGGCGCGGCGGGCCCGGGCGGGCGGCTCACCCGGGGACCGACAGACGCAGACCGACGGACGCCACGCGCGGCGGCGGCGGGCGCGGGGCAGGCCGGAAGCGTGCAAAAGTGACTTCCCCGCGGGTTCTCCAAGGAGGATTCGCTTTTTCTTTTCCTTTTTTTTTTTTTAAGATTTTGAAGCGTTTTCAGGTTTTTTTTATCTTTTTCTCTTTTTTTCTTCAGGCCGCTGAGCCCGAAAACGGCCAAGGCAACAGCGACCCGGGGCGGAGAGAGGCGGCCGGGGGAGCCACC